GATGCGACAGAGTAAATGCCCAGGAGCCTACAGACCATTGTAGCAGACATCGGATTCCTGTACAAATGATTCGTCCCTCTCCAGTCTCCATCCATACACACATACAGTACTTCAAAAGTACATAATATACTCTGTAACACACATTTGACCTTTTGACGCCCATCGCCAGAGGCGATGATAGCGATGCTACAGCAGAAGCCATAGCAACTTGTGCAGGGATTGCCCAACAGCTTGCAAAGCCGAAGAATTGAATGCCAATGATTCAGCCTGGTTCACACTGCACATCTTTTTTGAAGTGTTTTTCTTTGGCCAGTGAATACCTTTCTTTTCTTCTGTTTTTTTCTTTCTTTCTTTTTCCCGCACCCACATCACACCACATACTCCGGCTTGCACTGACAGTGTTGGTAAGTTAACCAGTGTACTAACCACCCAGGAGAATGAAGGGAAGTAGTCAGGAGGAGACTGAGAAAGGGAAGAAAGGTTTGTATGGCCATCAGTAATCGTCGGGAATCAAACTTGCAGCCCAGCCTCTCGATTGGAAATCGACTCCACATACCACTGGCATTGCACCATGTGGGACACACACACCACACACACACACACACGCACATGCACACCTCAGACCTGCCCATCGCGGAAGCGATGATAGCGAACAGCTATGTTAGACATAGCAACTTGTGCTGGGATTACACCATTCAACAGCTTGCAAGGCTGATGAATTGACCACCACTATTTTTAGCCTGGTATCCACCACACAGCTGATGTAAGTCAATCACATGCACACACACACACACACACAAACACAGTCACTCACACATGATGAGTGTACTGGCTGTTCATCCCGACTGCATGGGCTCTAAACACCTTCACAGTTCAAACTTCGTGGAATAGCAGGCCAGATCCTGAGTTCCACGTCCAATGGCCAACCCATTAATTTTGTTCCAGCAGAGGATGCCAGTTGATGCGTTTGGGCAAGCAGCAACGGAGAGTTGGAACTGCGGCCTTGCCTTGTTATTGTGCGGTCATCTTCGGAGTTTCGTGTCAGTGTGTGTCCCGTGTGTGTGTGTGAGGGGGGGGGGGGGGGGGGGGGGGGGAGGAGGAGGATGAAGGAGGGACTCAAAGGGAGTACATGTATTATAAGTAGTCTTCTGAACTAAAAAGTAATGGCTTACTAACGTTACAGCATAAACTGCTTATGGTCACAGTACCCACTGACTGAGCGAATGTCCCGCCGGCGCTGTGGCTGGCTGTATCCACCTTGTCCACTGATGCAATTATGAAGGCCTAGCAGTAGGTAGTTGTAGTTCAACTAACCCCGTTTTCAATGGGTTTTTAAGTTTTGAAATTTCAGGCAGTACAGTCCACATGATCCAGGCTCACTGACACTACTAGTATCCGGTCACGGTAAGTGCCGGACAAACTCCGACAGTGACCAACTCACATGTCGATAACGAAATCACAGGTCCAGGTATGTACTTGTGAACTACTTCGGAAGTATTAGTTCCTCACATCCACCTAATTAAGTCCTTGTTCAGACAACTCGATTATTGCGCAATGGCATTGTATGATACAAGTTATGTAGTAATGTCCGCAATTGCGCAAGTAGCCTCCGGAGGGCCTCCACTTGCGTTGCAGGGCGGAAAAAGAAACATCGCCATTCATCCCCTGACTGGTTGAGAGCAGTTATCAAGGTTATGCCAGATTAGGACCTCTTGCAGTCTTGAGCCAGATACCAGGATACTACACTCACTCCATGGGCGGGGTGCTTTTTGTGGCATACTACTAGTAGATCCACTATGTTCGATACCTATCAGCAAGAGTACATAATTATTGGGGGGTTATGTACTCTTGCTATCAGGTTGCGAAATATTGCATACAATGCGCATTATAGCAATAAAAACTGCTTTATGGCAGTTTTCTAAAAAAAGTTATTGTGTTCTAGTCCATGGACCCCGTCTAAAAAGTAAGAAATTAACGAAATGTGATAGCCGAAAATTAAAATTTCACACAAAACCTCACAATAATCACGACACTTGAAGATCTAATAGTACGGCTTTCAACACTTGTTTATTCCGACACTTGTACTTGTACAAGTACATGTACTGCGCCAACATGCTTGCATGTGAAAGAGGACCACGAGGGGAAAAGGTTGTCGCGTGTGTGATTATTGTGAGGTTTTGTGTGAAATTTTAATTTTCGGCTATCACATTTCGTTAATTTCTTACTTTTTAGACGGGGTCCATGGACTAGAACACAATAACTTTTTTTAGAAAACTGCCATAAAGCAGTTTTTATTGCTATAATTTCTTTTGTTTTTTGGCTAAAGGATATTACCGGTATTATTTTTATTTTATTTATTTTACTAGGGTGTTTCCCACAGACCTATGGTCTTCTTACGGGAGCCCCTAGAAAGGTTAAGCATGAACAAACAAATGGGCGATAATCTGTACAAGAGCGAACAGTGGAAGGCAGCATATTCCACCGATCAGAACCTATAATTGTGTCATCAATGGAATGCCCTAAATGATGGCCTACATGTAGCGACTCTACATGTTATTATTATTATTTTATTTTACTAGGGTGTTTCGCACAGAGCTATGGTCTTCTTACGGGAGCCCCTATGGCTATGTACATGTACGTGTATCATATCAATTTCAATACCGTATTATACGCATTGATGTGCAAGCCTTTTCTTGCAGAAAATGGAACTAGTCTTGCATACATGTATTCATGTTCTTCTGCAGGGGAATCATATGAGTAGTGGCGGTGATACTTTTTTTTATACGCAGGTCATTCTGTGGATGTTGCAGAATTTCATGACTCATCATGACTCATAAAATTGTCTTGTCTTTCAGAAAATTCAGATGTCCACACCCTAATTCCCCTAAATCACATTTACATGAGAATTGTAACCAGGTGCGCGCCGCAGATGTTTTTGTTGATTCTGTGTTTATAATTGTAGTCATGGGTTGTCGTGATAAGGTCATCCGGCATCATATTGTAATGAAATCGTAATCCTGTTGATGTCGGTAAAACTTTTGGAAGCAGTTCAATGATTTCAAAGTGTTACAAGTCCACGATTATCTAAAACAACACAGCAAAGTAGGAACAATAAACATGTATTAAAATGTTAACAAATACATTGCTGAGTCCGACACCTCGTTCCAACAACTACACTGATCCCGAGGATATAAGGGGCAAGGATATATGGTTGGAGGTACTGAGAGATAAACAAGGCACTCCATAATAATAACATGTTACACGACTTTGGGGGAGTATGAATGATATCCAGTCAAACCTCTTTAGGACGAACATCAAGGGACCGATGGCATTTGCTCTGTGAGTTTGTCTTAACCCTATTTTTATAACGAGTGAATACAATTATTTCTCCAATACTGCAATAGAGACACGAATAGATTTCTTCTACAGCGAAAGATTCTAAGCCAGACCAAACCATTGACTCGTCTTTTATGAAACAAATGAGTCACTGAACCTTTCTTTGGCAACATGACGGCAACTGAAACAACAACAGAGAAAATACGATACATGTACAGCACATTCTTGCAGGTACAACAAACAGATTGCAGATCGTAATTCTTGCTCTACCGGCACGCAACTTTACTTGGGGCAGTGCAATCTCGGCGGTACTCACAAATCAAACAGCCCAGACTCCAGTAAACAAATCCAATCGTACGAGATTTTCACGAGACTGCACCCATTGGCTTGTTTCGTATGAAGCAAACAAGTCACTGAATGCATGAACCTCTCCATAATGGAGATTTTCCCTGATATGCGAATTTATTTTGCATACTAGTAGTCGGTCAATGCGTCCTTGAACCTTCGCCTCCAGATTGGGAACTGCCAACGATGCTATGCCACTGGAAACACCCTAGTAAAATAAATAAAATAATAATAATAATAATAATAACTGCAAAATTCAGATTCTACCCCATGATCGGAGCACGGAATGCCGGAAGCAATCATGACCAGTGCCTTACTTGTAACGTACCAATGTACAATGAACATGAGTATTTCGACAACACATCTAAGCCTTACCGTCAAGAAGGTGAACTCGCGTTCTTCGCACACTGTTGGCAAGGGCAAAGAGATACGAATGGATCTATTAAATCCGAATAAAATCAGCACACGTTTCCGTAAATGAAAGGGTGAGCATAAGCAAATGAATCGAAGGAAACTGGTCAACTCAGAGATCACCTGTCATTGAGTATTCCGTAAAAGGAAGCCTCGACAGCAGAAAAGCTAAATTTAGAAAAGAGATCCTGTCAGCTTTTCCATTATTATTTTATTGTATTCCACCTAAAATCAGCACACTTTTCGACGAAAGAAATGAAAGAGTCAACACAAGCAAATGAATCAAAGGGAACTGGTCAACTCACCTGTCATTGAGTAATATTCCGTGAAAAGAGGTCTCAGCAGAGCCGAAGCGAAATAAGCCAGGACACGAAATATCCGAAACAGCTCATGCAAGAAGCAGTTCCAAAGAAGGAAGTTCCTCGCGCATGCACATCCGAAAACGGACTGCACGGCATGCAACACAATGTCTGCCGTGCACGTGCACAGCACGCGGCTACCACCCGTTGGTAGATCTAATACCGAGCACCTTACGTAGAAACTTACGTAGCCTAAGTGAAGTACCGAGCACCTTACGTAGAAACTTACGTAGCATAGCGGTGTCGTTTTTTCTGCCATGTGAACACAATAATAGAAAAGCTGACAGGATCGCTTTTCTAAATAAAATGACATGCGACTGATATCTGAATGCACTTATGTCTTTGCAAGTAAGTTTGCATGACATCCCTTTACACGTGCTCACCCGGCCTTCTGGTACATGGTGTACTGCGCATGCAGTCCTTCTGCTTCGTGTGATATCTTGTCACGCATATGCGCGTGCGATATCTGGTGCTCACACGCACAGTTCACACACGTACACGCGCAACCCGTGTGGGTCGTGTGCGTAGATCTACGTACAGTCAAGCAAATCAAAAGACCAAAAGTGAAAAAAACTGCTGTGCTTGCATGAGCTGGTTGAGTCTGCCAACTGCACTTTTGCTGAAATCTTGTGTTTTCTTTGGTCTTCTTGCTTGAAGTATTAGTTTCTCTTTCTCATTTTCTCAAACGTAACATTGTGAGTTTCGTGGTATTGACCTGTGTGCGTGGGAGTCATCTCTTTGTGACTGAAGCTATCCTGTGAATTACCTTTTCTGGGTGCTTGTGCAGGTTCAACATGGTCAACGTCGGAATTAACGGGTTAGTGCATCACTGCATGGTGCTTTCTTTTCAGTTCTTGCGACTAACGAGTTCAGTTTTGTCCAAAGTGAAACCACACTCCGGAAAGTCCCACCTACTGTGCATATTAGTAGTTTGCGTCGGAGTAGTTTGTCGACGGTTCAGGTTGTATGTACTTTCTGCTATGGGCACGTTTGTAAACCCCATTCAAAGAATATTCTTCACCCCTGCGTGTGTTGTCCTACATTGAAAAATAGTTTAAAAACAAATGCTCTTGGCTTAGCTGCTCAAGCTAGCTGGGCCGGGTGGCTATGCCCGTATCGCTCGCGTCAGGCATCTCGTTGGAAGAAGTGTTCGAAAATGGTTTGTCCACTACATGTACAGTCATGTACTATACTGAATGCAGTAAATTACTAATACGGAGGTAACAATGCTTATCCTTGAGACCAAATTGTTAAAATGTACAAGACTCATCTTATTTCCCCCCTTGTACTTCCTTGGGCTATCAGTATCATTACATGTTTTTTTTTGTTTTTTGTTTTTTTGTTATTGGGCTCCGCGCATCCCTCGGATTCGGACGAACTTATCCCAGTTTGGGGAGCAGCTTACTGGATGTGTTGTAGTTTGCATAGGAACTAAGTTACTTTACGCTTCCTCTCGTTATTCTTTGGGTGATCTGTCTTATCTGAAGAAAGTCAATGCATATAGGATTCTGGCACTGTTTAGTGCTGCTTTGAATCATGACATGACAGGCCAGGGCATTTTGGTTTCAGAGTGACGAATAGGAGGCGCACTCAAACACAATTTTAAGCCATATAAATACGTTTCATTCGCGAAACATGATTGGTCCGTGAACTCGATGTCCAGTAGGATGGCTAGCATCAGATTAAGGTTTGTTTTGTTTGCCTGCGGAATATCGGCGCTAGGGTTCCAACAATCATGACAACTTTCTGCTTTTTTCAGTTATAGTGGCAAGCTACTTTCGACTCGGCTCCACTCACAACACTCACAGTTTGGAGAACAGCAGCAGCAGATGCAGTCGTTTTCCAGTTGTTGAAAGTTGGGTCTACCACCTGGTCGGAAACTTGCCAGTATTACTGGGTTTTATTATCAGCCGAAAGTTGTGGTTATTCATCCTAGCGCATAGTTCAAGTGTTCTGCAGCCAGACAAATTGTAATCCTTTGGTAACCATCCTTCTCGATATCGAGTGCACGTACCAATTGCATTTTGTGAATGCAGCAGACCTATATGACTTGAACAATCCATGTTTGAGTGACTTCTGTGTGTCTTTCTGTTAACGAAAATGCACCCTGATGTGTACAACTCTAAGCAGCACTGCATAGCATCTGAGTCCAGAAAGCTTGGTCTTTGTTCTGATAAAATAATGTCTCTCTGAGGACGGTGAGAGAAGTCGAGCAACTTCCTATCCAAGCAACAGCATATCCAGGATGCTGCTCTCCCAAACTGGACACTCTGTATTGGGGTACCTCAAACTGATCCCTTTCGAATTTGCCAAACTCGACGCCATGTTTGCATCTTGGCTGGTGTCGGTTGGGGTGACGTTTGGGCCCTTATTTGGCAGATACGTCGAACTCCAGTCCATTGTGAGTGTCCGCACACACCACTAATTATGCATAGGGTCCCCATTACATCACCCAAGATCCCAACAAAAGATTTTTGTACGGGATGAGTGTCATAAACTGACTACAGCCTTTCCTAATTATTTGTATAGCCACGCCTTGCTGAATTTATTGACTTGAGACAGCACACACGTGTTCTTGGTTCAGACCACCATGTAGCTGTTGTACTTGTAGGCTGTGCTTAATTTGTTGTGAATATTGTGGCATACCGTCCATGCATAGACAGGGAGGGCATGCCAGATTAGAATCTTGCCCCTCGATGGTATTGTGTGTTCCATGTTGTCCTCCCACTTGGGGTACAGTCAGACCTCGCATAACCGCACACATCCGTTTTCCACAAAAATATCCGGATATGCGAGGGAACCGGATAATCGAACACACATACTGTATATATGCATGGCATATGCTGTAAATCAGTAACCAACGATTTTTGGTGAGGGATTCGGATAAAAGAGGACCGGATAAGCGAGGTCTGACTGTACTACTACTATATCATCTTGACGGTGAGGTTTACTTGTTACTTTCTTGTTTGTCACTGTCAGGATATCATTACGTTTTGGTAGGCTAGTTGTTGACTTATGATTGCCGTCTGGTGTTTTCAGATTTGGCCGCATTGGTCGCCTGGTGCTGCGCGCTGCCCTGGCCAACCCCAAAGTGACTGTCGTAGCCGTCAATGATCCTTTCATCGACTTGGACTACATGGTTAGTAGTACATACGTGTGTTTGTGTGTGTTTGTGGGGGGGGGGGGGGGGGGGGGGAAATGGTGTTGTTACCCATCCACCGGTGTCCGGATGTGTTTTGTGATGTCGCGTGCTTGCTGATGTTGCGTGCTTGCTGATGTTGCGTGCTTGCTGATGTTGCGTGCTTGCTGATGTTGCGTGCTTGCTGATGTTGCGTGCTTGCTGATGTTGCGTGCTTGCTGATGTTGCATGCTTGCTGATGTTGCATGCTTGCTGATGTTGCATGCTTGCTGATGTTGCATGCTTGCTGATGTTGCATGCTTGCTGATGTTGCGTGCTTGCTGATGTTGCGTGCTTGCTGATGTTGCATGCTTGCTGATGTTGCATGCTTGCTGATGTTGCGTGCTTGCTGATGTTGCGTGCTTGCTGATGTTGCATGCTTGCTGATGTTGCATGCTTGCTGATGTTGCATGCTTGCTGATGTTGCATGCTTGCTGATGTTGCATGCTTGCTGATGTTGCGTGCTTGCTGATGTTGCATGCTTGCTGATGTTGCATGCTTGCTGATGTTGCATGCTTGCTGATGTTGCATGCTTGCTGATGTTGCATGCTTGCTGATGTTGCGTGCTTGCTGATGTTGCGTGCTTGCTGATGTTGCGTGCTTGCTGATGTTGCGTGCTTGCTGATGTTGCGTGCTTGCTGATGTTGCGTGCTTGCTGATGTTGCGTGCTTGCTGATGTTGCATGCTTGCTGATGTTGCATGCTTGCTGATGTTGCATGCTTGCTGATGTTGCATGCTTGCTGATGTTGCATGCTTGCTGATGTTGCATGCTTGCTGATGTTGCATGCTTGCTGATGTTGCATGCTTGCTGATGTTGCATGCTTGCTGATGTTGCATGCTTGCTGATGTTGCATGCTTGCTGATGTTGCATGCTTGCTGATGTTGCATGCTTGCTGATGTTGCATGCTTGCTGATGTTGCATGCTTGCTGATGTTGCATGCTTGCTGATGTTGCATGCTTGCTGATGTTGCTTGCTTGCTGATGTTGCATGCTTGCTGATGTTGCATGCTTGCTGATGTTGCATGCTTGCTGATGTTGCATGCTTGCTGATGTTGCATGCTTGCTGATGTTGCATGCTTGCTGATGTTGCATGCTTGCTGATGTTGCGTGCTTGCTGATGTTGCGTGCTTGCTGATGTTGCATGCTTGCTGATGTTGCATGCTTGCTGATGTTGCATGCTTGCTGATGTTGCATGCTTGCTGATGTTGCATGCTTGCTGATGTTGGACTTTTTTGCTGTTCTCGTAGGTGTACATGTTCAAGTATGACTCCACTCATGGTCGATTCGAAGGGGATGTCTCTGCCGAGGATGGAAAGCTGGTTGTTAATGGACAGGCCATCACCGTCTTTGCTCTGTAAGCTCTCTACTGTACTGCTCGGCCAGATAGGACTAATACCAAGTTACTAGTAGTCCCAGTTGTTGGCAAGCAAGACTACTGTACATTGTTCATTTGAGGCATAGACAGGTACTCGATAGCCTTTTATAAACATTCACATGAATAGGTCTTTGTGAATTTAGGATGATATTACCAGGTTACCCACTCCAGTCACTGCACCTTGGCAATGCTGTGTGTGTGTGTGTGTGTGTGTGTGTGTGTGTGTGTGTGTGTGTGTGTGTGTGTGTGTTTCAGGCGTGACCCCAAGGAGATTGGCTGGTCCGCAGCTGGTGCAGAGTACGTTGTTGAGTCCACTGGCGTGTTCACCACCATCGACAAGGCATCTGTAAGCACTGCTACCTGCACACTCAGACACGTCGCACGTGTATTGTGTGTTTGCAGCCGTGTAGTCAGTGTGGCCAGTGGGAACACAGATAATATAGTGTTGTCGTTACTGTGTCTTATCTCTTTTTCCTGTTATCTCTCCCCTCTCCTCGCTCACTATCTTGATTGCTTGATTCTGTAGGCTCACTTGAACGGTGGAGCCAAGAAGGTCATCATCTCCGCTCCCTCTGCTGACGCACCCATGTTCGTTATGGGAGTCAACCATAAGGAGTACAGCACCGACATGAACATTGTCAGGTACACTTTGCGTCTCATTGTGTGTGTGTGTGTGTGTGTGTGTGTGTGCTAGTTCGGTTGGTGGGTACACTTATGCCTGATTGTGTGAGGTCTGTTGCCAACAGGCTCGGCTGCTTGAAGGTGTGTTGTTGTATCTGCCACCTTTGTTGGTTACAGGGTTCATATACTTTCTATTTGAAGTATACATACCTGTTAAGTGTTAACCATGGACTGCTTCTGGTTAGATTAATCTTGTGTAATCAATGGTGCTAGTGACGCTTATATCAGATCCCCTCTGATTTAGCCACCCACACTAGTAGCAAGTATTACCTTCACTGGGGGCAGGGGTAACGGCAGTTGGTGTACAATTCTGCTGCTTGTCGGAACCACGGCAGAGCTGTTCTCGTTGGTGTTGACCTTGAGTCATCAAGTAGAATACAATACGCTAGGGGAATTAGACGTAGGCTTGGCAAATATACTTGCAAATATACGGCCAATTGCCCCCTCCCCAAAACTGATCACAATAACCCAAGACCAGACCAGCTTATACTGCCCTGCTGCTGCAACTTTCCTAGAAAATTCTGGTGTAAAGGTTGTACAACCTAATCCATGCTGCTGTGTCGCTCTTTGTTTCTGTGCTGCGTTGCACGCTAGTCATTGACATTCCACAATGTGTTTTGGAATGTCTTTACAGTAATGCTTCCTGCACCACCAACTGCTTGGCTCCTCTTGCCCACGTCATCAACAACTCTTTTGGCATTGAGGAGGGTCTTATGGTAAGCTGCATTGGTGGATGGATACTCATGTAATGATGTTGTCGTCTGCAAGTACATTGTATGTCTACAGTGTGGAAGCTAAATTTCGAAGTCTATTTCTATAGTCCATTCTCCCATGGCCACTTCTACTTCACCCTTGTCTATGCTATTTTTAGGTAGCTGAGGTAAGTTACCTTTCCATTGATGCCACACGTGCTTTGCTTGGAAAATAAATGGAGCTGTGCTTTGCGCAGAGTCATTGCAAAGTACCAATTTTGACCAGATGCATACTCGGCCCCGGGAGAAACCCCCGATCTTCGTGTTCAGCAGCCTCGAATTAGTCGAAAGCAAGAGGGTTTTGGAACAAGCAGGGCTCCTTTTTATGGTGGTAGAAGGGAATGATCACAGAAACCAGCCCACAGCGATTTCCCGGTGGTGGGCGAAAAGCATCGAGTGAACCGCGAACACTGAGACGTTTTGACGATGAATCTGTGAGTTGAACAAGTGCGCACGGCATTCTGTATCACGTTGTACTTCGGATCGCAAGCGCATTTGCACTGTAGATAGTGCAGTGCTGGACGGAAACCACACCAGCTCCATTCATACTTGTGTTGCTTTCTGTGACTGCAGAAGTTCATGCTTGTGTTGTGTTGCTTTCTGTGACTACAGAAGCTGTCGATCTGCCAAATTCCATGATCCATAACTGTGGACTGCTTTGGAGTGTTTGATTCAATTTCACGGCTTATTTCTGCCATATCCCTGTCTCGGAAAAACGAGCGTTTAGGCCAAACTGGCAAATTTGACTTTTGTGACGAACTCCGTATCCAGGCTATATTCACCAGTATACAATCTGGCGTATCTGCTGCGTTGTGCAGTTTCAGTGTTCCTTGTCTGTTTTCTAGCTATGTATGCACTCTGAACATATGTGTATGAATGTGCGTGTGTGCGTGTGTGTGTGATTTGTGTCCAATAGACCACTGTACATGCCACCACAGCTACACAGAAGACTGTTGATGGTCCCTCTGGCAAGGTAACTACCATCTCAAGACTCTCCGCGCATGTCATACATGTATTTGCACAGTGACTGCTGTCGGTTTTCACATGCTTCGTATTATAATTAAATCTTTTACATGTAGACCAGGTCTTGAATGGCACCCTTTTGCTTGCTGTAAGGTGATGTTGAAAGTCTGTAGTAAAAAAACTCCATTGCCTTGAGTATTGTATGCCTTTGATGTACAAGTTGGTACCAGGCATGATGCCATGTACTAATGTGTGTTTGTGTGCTTGTATGTTTGTGTGTTGTAGAAATGGCGTGATGGACGTGGTGCTGGCCAGAACATCATCCCAGCCTCCACTGGCGCTGCCAAGGCTGTAGGCAAGGTTATCCCCGCACTCAATGGGTAAGGAGGCTATTGTGTCACGAGGTGACGAGCTCTTTTCCAAACTCCATCAATGGACAATATCACCTGATACGGAATTGAGTTGCTTTCCATCGAGTTGCACTTGCAATATCAAGATGTGCAAGCCTGCTAAAGTTTAAAAGTGCGGGTGGAATCCTGATAATCCGAACCCCGAAATGGCAAGGAAAACTTCTAATTATCCAACCGTGTACCCACAACACATTATGCATGTCAGAATGCTCGCATTCAATCACATACAGTTGCGATATGCACCATAGGCACAGCTTTCATGCACTCTGAACTGGCCAGTACATGCGTCTCACACACTCTGAACCCACCAGTGCAATGTACAGTAAACTTTGAATTATCAGCAGGAATCCCACACATTTTCTATGTAAGCAGATTTCGTGGGATTTCTAATTAGGCGGACACACCCAGTTTGAGGTTCGCTGTTGATGACGTCACTAAGACAGTGCCTATACACAGGTGGAGTATTTTGACGGTCAGAGTCTCCTGAAAGAATGCATGCGTATGATAAAATAAATATGCTATGCAAAATGAAAACTTTCAATTGGCGGGTCTAAACTAGAGAAAGCACCCCTTTAGCTAAATTCTTACTTAGGCCACACCGTTTTTTATCTCTTTTTCGCGTCCCCCGCGCGCATGTATTTCACAGCCGGAGTTAAAAATAAAAAATAAAGGAACAAAATTTTTTTGAAAATGCAATACAAATTTAATGCAAACTCAGAAAACCGAAAAATGTAACTCAGCTCACACGCATGTACCTGGTACATTGTACATGTGTGTGCAATAAGCTGGACCGCAAGTCACACAATCATCATGCTGCCTCTGTTTGGACCACAAGCATGGCAGAGGGGATACACTCATGTATTCATGTACACGTACATTGTACATGTCTGTACATGAACAGTGCCGCGTCGCTTCACTGTACACAAATGCAATGCACGTACACTCTTTTTTTTGGATGGCTTTTTTTTCGCCCTCCCTCATTGATTTCATCGAATAAGGTGACGCGAAACATAGAAAAAAACGGCGTGGCCTTATGAATATTAGCTAAATTCACTAGAAATTTACCACCGCCAAAATGAGCCGCTTTACAATACGGAGGATTAGCAAGACGAAATTCGCGTTCGCGTTCGCAAGCATTTTTCAGTTCACGAACTGGATAGCGAACTTTCGCATTTTTCGTTCGGAAAAGTAGTCTGAACACGAATCGCGGATTCGTGTCAGGGCAGTCATAAATTTACCCCGCTGTACTGTCTGTACACAATGTACGTCGTGTCAACGTCATGCATGTGCGAATTCTGTTTGCTAATCCTTCTCATAACGCGAATTCCGTCACTGAGTTCGACTTTCCTTGGAAAGCGAACGCGATTTTCGTCTTGCTAATCCTCCGTAATATTGACAAAGAATCCAGTTTCTGGCGCTCTAATTGCAATGGGCGTGTTTCTTTGAGCTATTGGAATGTCAGTCGGCTGTTCGCTTGGATACATAACCGAAAACAAGTGTGTCCTCTTTAGTAACTGATCTCATGTGTTTTTCGTTCGTTGCTGCTGTTGCTGCTTCTCCTGTTGTTGTTGTTGTTGTTGTTGTTGTTGTTGTTGTTGTTGTTCTGGGTATGTGCAGCAAACTGACTGGCATGGCTTTCCGTGTGCCAACCCCCGATGTGTCAGTTGTGGACTTGACTGTGCGCCTGCAGAAGCCTGTGAGTATTGTAATGGTGCACAAGTACTGACGACTTGGCCTCGGGTGTGTGTGTGGGGTGGGGGGGGGGGGGGGGGGGTGGATACGTGAGTGTGGGGGTGCATGGTGGTACATGAGGGGGGGGGGGGGGGGGGTGCTTACTGACAGCAGTCTAGCTGTTTTTCTGCTAGTGCTGGTCAGTGAAATCCCACCACCACTCAACCACTGCACCGTGAGTTGTACTGGTGGCCATGCAAACTGGGCTGCTGGATTGGAGAGTTGCAGGGCGTTAGTGGCTACTTGACTTTGGCGAGCAAAGTGTGCCCTTTGTTGAATTTCAATAGGCATGTCTGTTTAGGAAACGTTACTAGCATGCTATTCCTTCTCTGCACTAGAGACGTGAAAGATGGGCGTATGCAGTTTTTACTTTTTAGGTCTCGAAAAGTCGACGTGTAGCCAAATACATGTGCTCGTATTGTTTTTCCCGCTCAGTGCTCATATGATGACATCAAGAAGACCATGAAGGATGCTGCTGCTGGTGACTTGAAGGGAGTCCTGGACTACACTGAAGACCAGGTAGGGTGCTCAGCACATCAACACACTCTCTCTCTCGCTCTCTCTTCTCTCTCTCTCTCCCTCTCTCCCCCCCCCCCCCCCATTTCTATTCCCAGTTTGCAAGGCTGGGCGGGGTTGTGAGCAGGCTTTCATTTAATCTTTTCTTATTATTTCTAATTATTTCTGCTTTTCATCTCATTACAAAACATTCTGCACATTTAACGTTAGGCCACCCAGAATTAATTCGTTGTTTCGGGTCACCCGACCGACCGTCTTTTTTCGCCCGACCGCAAAATGTTTTTTTATAGTGCATGCAAATGTACATGACTAGACTATGTACGTACATGTACATGTACATGACTGTACACACGCGCCTAATATTGCAATACCGGTAATATAATAGCAGTCCAGACATCGACCTCAGCTCAGAAGCAGCCAAATAAAATGACAGGATGCAGCGCTTGGTGACGATGTTGTCTTCTATTATTCCATGTATCTCCGATCCGCAATCGGTCCTGTAACAGCATCAGCTCCGCCACCGCGTTGCTCTTTGACAGACATTTTCAAGGTGAGAGCTGCTCCTCAGACTTCGTTTGCCAGCAAGGCCAAGGTCTGGTCCTGGAGCCTTGGAGGGGACCTGGATGTGATGGGACAATGACTGCGCTGGATCGACTACAGTCATGATTTGATCGACTGGCTTGATGGACAAAAGCTATTCGATATACATGTATGCACATATACCGGTACATGGCAGTAACCAAAATAAAAAATAAACCCGACCGACCGACCCTGGTACGGATGAGTGAAGTGACCCGAAACAACGAATTAATTCTAGGTGGCCGTATCTCCATCTGTACATAACATCTTGACTGACAACCAGCTTGTTAAATCATGCACCTGCTTTCAGGCGTAAAAACCCTGTTCTAGAGGTCTCAGTCCTCATTTGTTGGACTTACCTGTCTTTATAAATGTAACTTACCCATGACCTGTCTTTATGTAACTTACCCATGAATGATTCCAACTGCAACTTGTTGGAAGCTGTACTGAAATTGGCTGTGTGATGGCATTGTGCGCTGGTATGCGTTGTTTCCTGCTGCAGGTTGTGTCCACTGACTTTGTGCATGATGCCCATAGCTGCATCTTTGATGCTTCTGCTGGTATTCAGCTGAACGAGACCTTCGTCAAGCTTGTTGCCTGGTAGGTCTCAACACACACACATGCGCACGCGCTCACTGGCTAGACAGCAATATTGTGCTGCACACTTGATCATTCTGAGACTGTGTTTCCACATAGCACATGCATCATTTGCATCACTGACTTATGGTTTGACAGCAAATGCGACTTTACTTCACACGGGGCACACAGAGATGGAGTGTACGCACATGATGTGAGCAGTTCGATGGTGAAAAAAAAGAAATTAGAAACACACCATTGCTCACGGTGTGCATGTGTCAGGCCCGGCGGAACCGGTCCGGTTGGTCCGGCCATGGCCGGACCAACTTTTTGGCCACCAACATGTGTTACTGGTTAGGAGGTCGTGTGTATACCCTCCATACGTATCATACTCAAAGTTGAAACTGTATGAAAGACTAGGGTATGGCCGGACCAATCAAAAACTGCTTCCGCCGGTCCTGTGTGTGTGTGCGTGTGTGTGTGTGCACGTGCTTGCTTGTGCATGTATGTGTTGCAGGTATGACAACGAGTGGGGCTACAGCAACCGTGTTGTCGACCTGATGGCCTACATGGCAACCTGCTAAATGACGGCAGTCCTCGGATAGAGATGGCTCTTCAGCTGGCACTGAATGGCGGCTGTGTTCTACAGATGTAAGCTGCTGCTGTGTATTCTGCACCACTGTGGTGATATTCCCCGTATCAAGCTAGTAACAGCTGATCACCTCAACATTTGAATGTGATTGTAGTTGCTATCTCTTTCTTATTTTTCCAAGCCTTCAATACAACTTTCAGCCCTTATTTCAGTGCTGTTTATCCCCTTGTAGGTAGGCATTTTCACTGTGTTGGTAACCAAGTCCTTTATTGTTTTAGCAATTTTATTCCTTTCTAGCAATAGCATGTGTGTGTGAGTTATGGCAATTCGATTCGTGGGAAAGGTTTACATGAGGTGTAAAACCCTGTACCCCTCCCCCTCACACAACTCCCCTTGCATGAAAAATAACACTCTCCACACAAACGCACTCACACACTTGCACCCACACAAATAATAATACCCTTCAGGAAAAGAGAAAGAATTTTGGCAGGTGGAATGGAATTATTAAAAAAATAGAAAGATGCAGCAGCAGAAATGTAGGTTTCTAAAAACTGGTAGTACATATCTATAGTGGAGTCGTGAGTGATATTATTTATGATGAGATTGCGATCTATACTCCAAAATCAAAATATAAAGTTACTTAGGGTTACTTAGGGTTGTCCGAAGATTCACTGTGGCCCTCGGTTATTCTATCTAGCCCACCAGCGTGGTCAGCGTTGCTAGAGCCGGCGTGTAGCTGCTGTGCCATATCAGGTGGTGGCAGTCTGGCCTCGGCCTGTTCATGCTGCTCAAGCTCTTTCTCCAGTTTGATCTCACGGTCACGAACCAGGCGGCTGTCGTGTCCCTCAAGCATCTCCAGGCGCTTTTGCAGCTTGCGTTTATGGCGTTGGCTAAATTCAAGCAGGGCTTGGTGGCACTCCTGTGACGCCCAGCACTTCTCTAAGAGATCACACTCCAGGCGATTGACCTGGTGCAGTTTGTCAATGTCGTAACTACGTATGAGACTGCGTGATGATTGCAACGACTGCAGCAACACAAGAGAGCACGGGCGGAGATAAGACCATAGTACATGCAATGGAGCAGCAGCACACTGACATGTCACTTGTCTACACTAGCTAAGCACGATACTGTGCATGCAGTGATAAAGACATACATATTATAATCATTGCTGGCAGTGATTGGTGACTAAAAACTGGTAGTGCCTATCTCCCTTTGTCTACATGGGCCAGCGGTCATTTGCTTGAAAGGCACCGGGCAAGCCACTTCACCCCCTCCACCACCATACACCAGCGCCAGCACCAGCAGAGCAAATACTTCACGAAGTAAAAAAGTATGTGAGCAGTGCAACAGAGAAGATCGGTGGTGGCAATAATATTAATTTCAAATTTGGACTTCACAGAGAATTTTTCGAAGTATTACTGGAAAGACAATTGATTGTAATAGAGAGGTTCTGCTACACGGAACTACGTACCAAACTCCGTGTCAACTGCAACCTCCGTGTCAACTGCAGTGAAGTTTGACACGGATTTTTCGTACGTTGCACCGGTTCTGCTGTACGTAGCATGCATGAACATCCCATCCCCAACATGTACTCTGTACGCTCGGTTTTCACACGGAGTCCAGTCCGTGTGAAGCGCGCTTCACACGGAAAACGGTATGAAAAATCCGTGTGAAACTTGATCCCATACCGCGGCGAGATTTCCGTACATACTTTGGTACGTTTTACTGTGTGGCAGAACGTCACTATTATCACGCCAGTGCACAGCGCAAACTTGACTCGCTCAATCGGATTTCATTGAGCAGCACTGTAGTACAATGCGTACACATCTAAATGACACATGTTATCAAGAGTACATTGATTGATTTCACTACATACTCACTGAAAATTGCCGCACATCAATATTATTCACCGCATATTTACCGCATATTTACCGCAAATTATGCCATATTATGCCGCGTTTTTCCCCGCGTTTTTTTGCGATTTTTTCCGCAATTTTCCCCGGGGACAGATCATCACCTGTTCATCAGTGTGACACCAGACCCCCCCCCCTGGGCTGGACTGATTGTTTCCATGCAAACTGGTACTCATACCTTGTTTATTCGGTCGGTCTGGGACCGGGCACTGCACGTAACTGTGAAATGTCTCTAACTCCGTATTACACACATTTTGATGGGGAAAGACCATAGATACAGCATATGGCGTCACTATTTTCACTAAAAGTGGCAAAAGAGTAGTAATATTTCCACTGCAACTGTTTCCATGCAAACTGGTACTCATACCTTGTTTATTCGGTCGGTCTGGGACCGGGCACTGCACGTAACTGTGAAATGTCTCTAACTCCGTATTACACACATTTTGATAGGGAAAGACCATAGATACGGCATATGGCGTCACTATTTTCTTGTAAAAAGTGACAAAAGAGTAGTAATATTTCCACTGCAACTGTTTCCATGCAAACTGGTACTCATACCTTGTTTATTCGGTCGGTCTGGGACCGGGCACTGCACGTAACTGTGAAATGTCTCTAACTCCGTATTACACACATTTTGATGGGGAAAGACCATAGATACGGCATATGGCGTCACTATTTTCTTGTATAAAGTGACAAAAGAGTAGTAATATTTCCACTGCAACTGTTTCCATGCAAACTGGTACTCATACCTTGTTTATTCGGTCGGTCTGGGACCGGGCACTGCACGTAACTGTGAAATGTCTCTAACTCCGTATTACACACATTTTGATGGGGAAAGACCATAGATACGGCATATGGCGTCACTATTTTCTTGTATAAAGTGACAAAAGAGTAGTAATATTTCCACTGCAACTGTTTCCATGCAAACTGGTACTCATACCTTGTTTATTCGGTCGGTCTGGGACCGGGCACTGCACGTAACTGTGAAATGTCTCTAACTCCGTATTACACACATTTTGATGGGGAAAGACCATAGATACGGCATATGGCGTCACTATTTTCTTGTATAAAGTGACAAAAGAGTAGTAATATTTCCACTGCAACTCGCCTAAAGGGTGCCCGGTAGACCGAAGTGCCCGTAACCTTGGTGTCCTGATAACCGAGTTACATGTATGAGTGTATTTACACAGAGACATACGCTGCTTTGAAGTTTGCACGGTATGGTTATACAACCCGACGTCTGCACGGCACACTGCCTTCATTACAGAACTAAGTACTTGCCTGCATCACACCCTGTACTCATGCACCACAATCCACAACCTCTTGCACCAGCACGCCTGGTTTTGCCTCATTCGTTAGAATACAGACACAAACTCTAAATTTGCGTGCATGAACTTCAGTTCCGCAAGTTGGTTTAAAAATTCAAACTTTAGGGAAAGTGTGGTGTTTGGTTTTCCAGTGTGTGGAGTCTACGCACTGTGGAAAACCTAACACCGTGCAGCTGAATGATGTAATGAAGGCAGCGTGCCACACATCTGGCCCATAGAAAGGAGATCACAGTTGCATATTCTTGTTTACGAACTCTTGCCGACGTGCAAGCCAACCCGGGTATATAATTATTCATAGGGTATAAAAAATACTGTGTAGACTGCCCTCTACGTTGGTGCATGTACATGCTATTCCATACCTGTTGTGGTAAACTTGTCATCCAGTGTAGGACACTCCTGTAGTCGCGCTGGAATGCTGATGCAGGCATGACACGCGATGCTAGTCTGTACTGCAGAGCAGCTTCAGCTGTCAGCTTGTAACCAAGCAATAGGACATCGTTGGCCTAGGCAGTGGAAGATAGACAGTGGAAGATAGACAGTGGCAGATACGCAGCGGAAGATAGTCAGTGGAAGATAGACAGTGGAAGATAGACAGTGGAAGTTAGACAGTGGAAGATAGACAGTGGAAGATAGACAGTGGAAGATAGACAGTGGCAGAGAACACACACACAGAACACTGAGAACAAGTAGGACAGGTCTAAAGGACACGTGAGAAATTCAGATGCCGAGAATTTGAGGACACCTTTAGGTACATGTACCTTGGCTTGGAGGTACAAGTTCACACCCTTCAATCACCATGATGAGCACAGTTTGGACTACATGTGTCCCTGGGATGATTTGGAGTTTTTCCGGGCGTATTAAAAACGGCTTACACTTTGGAAAATACAGCAAGCATACAAGCACTAACTAATGTACTAGTATACTGTATGCTGTGTGCTGTGTGTTGTATGCTGTGTGCTGTGTGTTGTGTGCTGTGTGTTGCTTACCTTCGCCGGTCCCATGATTCTGGGAAATAGGTAGGATGAACAGCCTTCAGGACTCTGTCCTAAGCTTGTGAATGGTGTGTTGAATGTTGCCTGTACACACACACACACACACACACACACACACACACACACACACACACACACACACACACACACACACACACAACACGCGCGTGCGCGCACGCACACATACGCACACACTTCTACTTGCTCACTGCCAAACTGGTCACGTGGGTCTCCTTGGGAGAGAGGGAGAGCCTCAAAACGAATCTCGCAAAGATGACTCCATTGGCTATTGAGCCGTCCAACGGCTGACACCCCCTGAAATCCCCAAAGTCTGGGTGGACTTGGAAATGATCCCACTTATGGGCTCACCACACCTCAGCAAGTGGGTGAGGACAAAGTGCAGAAAAAGGATTGACTGCATCAGGGTATCCGTCCCAGGATCCAACTGCATACACCAGTACCCCTGCCCCCAGTGAAGGTAATACTTGCTACTAGTGTGGGTGGCTACATCAGAGTGGATCTGATATAAGCTTCACTAGCGCCATTGATTACAAAAGATTTAATCTAGCCAGAAGCAGTCCATGGTTTTAACAGGTATGGGTACACACACACACATGCACTCACGCCCGCCAAAAAATCAGCAGTGTGGGGTTTCACCTAGCACCTCCACATGTACATGTGGGGGGGGGGGGGGCACATAGGGTAGAGGCTCGGAAATCCAACCTCATTTGGTGCCGGGCTAGGTGGTCAGTCGTACTTTGCAACCGTGTCTATGGGGTAGGTGTATGTGGGACTGGAGAAAGTGGTCGCATTGCACAGGTCGTCTGTGAAAGTGAGGTACAATGTACATGTAGTTGGAAAGTGAGGTTGGAGCTAGGCTGCATACAGCGGTATGCAAACATGACACCATAGTACTTACTACCTTACATCAGACGATGCCAAGACCAGGTCACAGAGAGCCAAAGTAGTGACAGCGATACCAATAGCAGGTCCATTCACAGCCGCAACAAGAGGCTTAGGATGATCGATGAATGCAGCAACAAACCTCCTGCATACAGACAATGACAGCAAATGAAGACGAAGCACAACAGTTGGTCACTACATTACAGCTGTTAGGTGCATTACCTAGAGATGCACACCTCATTACGTTACTACCCCTCACAGAAGAAATAGTGAGAACAGGAGTCCGTGCTAACACACACACACACACATACACACACACGCACGTACGCACCCCCCCCCCCCCCCACACACACACATGCACGCACCCCCCCCCCCCCCCCGACATACACACACACTGCATTCTGCCTGGCACTTACTCGAGGGTGGATCGTGCCACCTTGACCAGTTCGGACAGGGACGTATTAGCCAAGTCGAAGTTGGAGAGATCATTTCCACTGCAATAGTATTCTCCACTGCCTGTGAATACGGTCAAGTAAATATCATCGTTCACAGCTGCCTGCGCCAATGCCTCCACTATATCATTGTACATTTGCAAAGTCAGTGCATTGCGGCGTGTCGGACGGTTGAAGCGAATCGTCTGCACATGGTCCTTAACAGTCACCACCAGGTCCTGTAGAAACGTGGCACAAGCAATCATACAGAAACACAGACAGTGCATGCAGTAACCAGGGAGTCATATTAACTACCGCGAGAGCGCCCCACTGCCTGTACCCCTTCTTAATCGGGTTTTGGAGGTGGGGCAGACGAGCGACGTCTGTCTGTAGGTCATACCACACGTACATTGTACACACACACACACACACACACACACACACACATGTACAAGCAATACAAAGTTCTTGACCCTACAAAACTATTTACTAGCTTTGCTAGACATACTAACGTTTAAGAAATCTTGCGAATACTTGGACGGTGGTCCATGGGACAGAGCTGCAGACATCATGCACACTGTGTGTCTCTACAAGCGGTGGAAGGCCAGGCCATAACATGTACAGCTGCTGCCACTTGGAAGGTAGATAGTAGATACACTTACTTCCTTGCCATAGACCTCGAATGCCATCTGTTCCTGCTCATAAAGTTCCATGTCCCTCTGCTCCTTGGCCTCTATGCTGCCGGGAAAGCTCTGAGCTTCGTTGACCAATTCAATGAAATGAGCCATGGCCACATCCTGTTGGGCACAAAACACGACAACAACAGTAGCATGGTAAGACACACATGCCCCCCCCCCCCCCCCCCCCCCCACACACACATACGGATGCCCATACGCATGCACACACAGTAGCAAATACAACTGTCATCCCATTCGACTCCTATGGAGGCTCAGTGATTTGTTGCGAACGTGTACACGAAAAGAAAGGGAATTAATTTCGTGTTTGAATTGTGTAATGCATTAGAAAAGGTTCAGTGACTCAGAACAATATGAGCCTCAATTCCGTAGCTATGCAGACAACGTTACTTCAGTAACGTCGGGCGCTAGCCAGGGTCCACACAGCTTTAATTTGGTGTTTGTTTGTTCGTGGCGGACGGACCTCCGTCTGGCGCTATCCCGTATCTGTCCCGTACCGTACCGTACCACAAACAGCTGGCCACAATATTCACATAGGGCTTTCAAATGCAAGATCATAACGTGAAGCTACTTGGAAGAATGAGTATGAATGCGAAATGTATCGGGTAATGCATGTAGGGCGATTGTGCGGGTTCGAATCCCAGGTTATGCCTTGAAAAAAAAATAGGAGAATTGAAAAATGTATAACATCCCTATGCTTTTTTGCCTAGGTCATCAAGGTGGTAGATGGGGTCGTATTACCCTCGACCGTACCTGTCCCGTATTGTACCATCAAAGACGGCTGGCCATAAACAGCTGGCCACAATATTCAAATAGGGCTTTCAAATGCAAGATCATAACGTGAAGCAACTTGGAAGAATTAGTATGTATGCGAAGTGTATCGGGGGATGCATGCAGGGCGATAGTGCGGGTTCGAATCCCAGGTTATGTCTTAAAAAAAAATAGGAGAAATGAAAAATTTATAACATCCCTATGCTTTTTTTTTGGCTAGGTCATCAAGGCAAAAAAGCATAGCGTAGGGCCCTGAGCTTCCAAGCTCTCTCGTTTCCATGGAGACACGACAGTAAATGAAACAGTGGCAAAGAGGCAACAACAGAAATACGGGTACTAGATGCGTACCTCTTTTTTTTCCATGGTGTATACATGTACTTTGTTGGTACAATGTACTCTCAGAGCTACTTACGAATCAAACAGCCCCGGACGTGTGTAAACGAATCCAATCTACAAGATATTCACCAGATTCCAACTCAGATCTGACCCATGCCATGGACTTGTTTCATATGAAACAAACGAGTCACTGAACCTCTCTATACACTTGGGGAGTCGCCCCTTCGCCAGTGAGTCAAGTCACTGCAGTGGAAGAGTGCAAAGACCTACCTACCGTCTCCATATCTTCCAGACTACCCCACATTTCCAGCATGGCCTCGCGCAGTGTATCGCTACTACCAGCACCGATCATTGCCCCATCTTCTGTGCAGGGACCACGCACTGCCTGCAATCATAGCAAACAAGAGATAGAGAGATAGAGAGAGAGAGAGAGAGAGAGAGAGAGAGAGAGAGAGAGAGAGAGAGAGAGAGAGAGAGAGAGAGAGAGAGAGAGAGAGAGAGAGAGAGGAGAGAGAGAGACTACAGAGAATGCATAAATTCCATCCGATCCTGATTATTTACCAACCCCGGCATCGTATATCAATCACTGTGTTTAAAAAGTACATTGTACATCGATCACTGTGCTTGTAGTACTGTGCTTGTAGCACTGTGCTTGTAGCACTGTGCTTGTAGCACTGTGCTTGTAGTACTGTGCTTGTAGTACTGTGCTTGTAGCACTGTGCTTGTAGTACTGTGCTTGTAGCACTGTGCTTGTAACTGTGCTTGTAGCACTGTGCTTGTAGCACTGTGCTTGTAGCACTGTGCTTGTAGTACTGTGCTTGTAGTAGATAAGCTGATCATGAGGACGATAGCATCCTGGGTAGATACTAGATCGGTGATTTGGTTCACTTCCATCATGACCATCACAGGCCAGATTCAATCCGACCCTCGGTAGGACTCCCCTGGTGAGTCCCGATATTGCAAGTGCAATACCACATTATTTGTTCAAACACGTTGGACTGGCAAAGCGTCCGGGCTTCCAGGAGACCTGTAAGTCATCTAACGACTCACTAGATCATTTCCAAAACTCAAATCTATGTGCACTGCAGTGTAATTATCTGAATGTTTAGCTCAGCAGGCGGACAAGACACACGGTCATGCAATTCACTACACCGACAGGGTCTCAGCAGCCGCATGGCCTTGGAGCGCCTGCTTGCAACCGTACCATGCACTGCCACACACTGTGTATTAAAAGGTGCGTAGCCGGGAGGGTTTGGGAGAGGGTTTCCAGATGGGGCTCCTGGGGTGTCCCCTAGCGGGGTCAAGGGGCGGAGCCCCTTCCGGGGTGGGCGGGTGCAGCGGCCCCGTCAAAAGCTTTTAGGGTGTCTTCAAATTCCAAGCTCCTGAGAAGCCCAATCTGGGACTTTGCACTACTATTTTCAATGTGTTTTGGTTCATTCACATCTAAGAATTTTGTATTAAAATACGCAACATGAAAGAGAACTTTACAAGGACCCTAGTCAGTTGTCCAGCTAGTTGGTGCGGACAAAGCACTCGTGAAGTTTCACACCTTACTTAAGTGCACGCGTGTAGCATGCACCGCACTTGTCTCTTTGTACTATCGGTGATTGCACATGCATGCACTCAGGAGAGTTTTACAGCAGTTTTCAAAGGCATCGGTGTCTGCGCTGCAAGCCCGTAGGGGGTTTCTGGGCAGCCTGGAAACACTGCCGCCTGCGTGCCTCTGTAAACATGAGCCACGAGGCGAGGCTGAGCCGCTCAGTGTATTGCAAAAAAAAGTATATGCGCATCCTCAGGAGCATCGATACACCACTTCAGCGGTATGTGCCGATGGCATGTTCATGCCCGGCATACCCAGTACCAGGTAACTGGATAGCTAGGTAACTCTACCAATAGAGAGGTTAAAAAGCTGCACGTTTCTTTTGACGTGACGCGCAATTTCACTTCAAATTTGGCGTAAAACTCCAAATTTCGACGCGAGCTGCAGGTCACTCACGTTGTTTTCCAACGAGCGAGCCAAATAACGTGAGCTGAACTTTCGCGTCACGTCAAAAATAACGTGCAGCTTAACCTCTCTACTTTCGAGAAAGAACACCGTCTGTGTTTACCACCGTAAGCTGGCCGACGGTATCCGGGCCACTCGACGCAGCTACATCAGCGGGAACCACTTAGAATACACCGCGCTCTGCACCACTGCATTCTTGCATCCTGCATGCCGTACTGGCCTTGTTATAATCAGTATGGGTGGCCTGCATGCCGTACTGACCTGGTTGTAGTATGCGTCAGTGGCCTGCATGCCGTACTAACCTGGTTATAGTATGCGTCAATGTGCCTGTTCATAGTGACTGTGAGCTGTCCACGATCCATCTCACGTAGCTCCTCCACTTTCTGCTCGAATTCCTCCTCCAGCTCAGTCTGGTGGTACCCTCTGCATGGCACCCTCACAGCACCACCACCACTAGTAACAACACTCTGAATGGGGCGCTCTTGCCAACCAGAGCCGCTCCAGTTCACCTGCTTCGCCACGGGTCCGCATAGGCCAGAGAATGCTCTCCTCCCTGACACGGCACTCGTCACTGCTGAGAGTCGCGGCCAGGAACCAGCCTTCAAAACGCCACGACCACCAACGGAAAGACGTCCAAGAAGTCTCGAAGCCATTTCAGGCACGATAATTCAGCCAACCCCTGAGAAATGCACGAAACAGGTATTGGGCCAATCTCGTCAAGTAACAGTTGCCTGAATGTATGCCCGCTGCACTAGGCATTCGATCTTAGCATTTATTGAGCCTAGATAATCTCCTCCATATTTCTAAATGGGCTGCTGGTAATAGCATCCGATTTCGCGAAGCAAATGCTGCCAATTGCCAAGTAACGATTACGTGAACAAGAAGTAAAATGTGAGTCGAAGTCTTTTGAACTTTTTGAAGTACATGACTGTATTAATATTAGCAAGAGTACATAATCATGATAATGTACTCTTGATATTAGTTGAAGAGGATTTTGGAGCATCGACAGCTTTTTTGTAGCTAGCTTGCTTGGTGATGTTAGCATGGTTCCGGTTAGGGGAAACCCCAACTTCTTCACTTGCTGGGCACACATAAAAATCTCTGTCTCGTGACATTTTTTATGAATCTTTTTTTCACATCCCCTGATTATTATGATCATGATCTTATAAATATGAATCGAATCTTCGTGCGTTTGAAGAAGAAAGCTGGTGTGCTTGTATGTGTTGAACAAGACCTTTTGAAGTGAAAAGCAAAGACGAAGGTTTGATCAAGAAAGAGAAGACAAGGTCGATATCACGTTAGTTCCTCGTGCCTTTTAGATTGATACTGTACGGTTTTCTGCAGCTATAGTTATTCGTATGTTCTGAAAGAATCGGCGTTGACTGTGGTCAGGCGCAAGCTGCTAGTGTAACAGGAGAGCAACATTTTTTGAAATATACCATAGCGGCTGAAGTACAAACATTGAAAGATGGCCTTTCGCAAGCCACGCTTCAGCAGGAATCCGCTGGCCCATTTTAAGACTCGCGAGGACAAGGCTGCGTATCGCGAGCGGTTTGGCAGTGAAGCGTTGTTCAACATGAGGACATCGCTGAAGAGTGCGAGGACGGTGGAGATAGATAACTACTTGACGAAGCATCATTGGAAAGTGATTTGGAGGTCCTTTTGGAGACCACTGAAAATATGGGCGCTGAACAAGCAAGCCTTGAAGTACTATGCTGTGGTAGCATCGCTTGGATTGGGTTGTGCGTATGCGAGAGGACTACGCCCTGACCTATTTGGCCTGGCACCGCGGCAGCACTTCGTACCGCCGGATACTGTACAAGAGGACTTCATGCAGCTGAAACGAGATCTGGGATTGGAGGACAGTCGGATACGCCTAGTCATCAGCAGAGACTTTGCGTCCAACAAGTTTGATCGCTTCACGGAACCGTTTGTGTATGGCAGCCCACTGATGCCGCGTGGTGCTACTATCTGCTTACCCGCCGTCTTCTTTGAAGGACTGGATACGGACAGTGATGCGCCGGCTACCCTTAGCTCTCTTCAAGTTGGAAAGGCGACGTTTGACTGGGATACAGTCAACGCCGAGATTGTCAAGCGTAAGCTGCAGCTCCCGCGCGATGAGCTACGCTTTGTCATGGGCACAGGCATTGTGGAAGCAAGCCAGCACATGCCACTGAAGCGCTGCTTGAAAGCGCCGTTCCTGTATATTGCTGGCATATTCACATACTACGGAGTATTTTGGTCAGGCCTCGAACACGTGAATCCAGCTGTTTATCGGGCAAAGTTTCGACGACGTGAGGCAATCTGGACCATCGTGCAGGTGGCCGTGCTGCTGAGAATGCTCATACGGCAGCGATGGTCTCATGTTGCAGCGTGCGAGGAGAGCGTTGTGGAGGCTATTCCGTGTTTGGCTGAGAGCGGTGCTAATTACCTGGACCGCATTGCCATTGTGCGTACGATTGTCAGAAATCAGCTTGGTCACTATTCTACACGGTGGATCACGGATTTGGGCGAGCGCTCGTACTACGACTGGGACATTATCCGTGGCCCTCCTACGTCGTATCACCTACTGAACCGCGCCGATGTTCTTCGTGAATACGCTGTCGGAAAAGCCGAAGAAAATGTGATTGCGTCACCAGCCGCAGCAACGTAGCCCTGCAGACTTTTAAGCATACTGTGTGTCACTGTGCCACACAGACATGAATACCACCAACACTGGCACTGCCTACTGATGTACTTCAGCTGCTCGTCAGTCGTCACTGGCGACGCCAGGGGCCCGGGTGGGAAATCACAGGTCAGCCAAGACCTGCACCTCCTCCCAATGCGGCCACCGCCACCAGCACTGATCAGTACCGGAGTTTGAAACGTTTGATATTTGCCTCTGTAATCTCGGCACTGCCCAGGGCCTGAATGCCGTGACACTACATTGCAGTCGCCTCCATTATGCGGCCAAGTTGTTGATCAGCTGTATGACTTGTAGCTAATACCTAAGTGACGACCACTGTGACCAGTCATCATCGGGTTTTGTTCATTGAGCCTTCCAGACTGGTCCGGCTGGTAGACCTCACAGGCAGGTCAGGCCTTCATGAGAATGTCTTGTGATGTAGCACAATATCTCATTCTTCAAGATAATAATTTTTGCAGCTTTGCGCAAGCTGGCTCAAAAGCATTATGTTGAAGCAGCAGCAGCAGCAGCAGCCTCATTGAGTACAACAATACCTATGATGTTCATCATGGTTTGCTCAGAATCTATGGTGTGCTTTTTGCTACTCACTGGCACTGATGCCAAGAGTACATAACCTCACTGAGAGTGTGCAACTCTGCATATGGGGTCTTGCGCTGCGCACTGCCCAGATTACGTAGCCACGAGCCATTGTGTCATTATTGATCTGCGGTTTCCTGCTTTTAAGTCCGCTTTCCTCTGAGACTTCACTATGTAATGCAGGCAGAACGCCGTGCAGAGCACCCACAGCTTGGAGATCAGAGTTCCACACTCTTGGGGTTATGGGGTTGAACTACACCAACACTCAAACTGAGTACAACTCCCTATGGCGAATGGGACCACAACACCGGCGACCACCCACATGACAGGGGCGGCATGGAAACTCACAAATCCAAGATGTAGCAATGGGATTTTCACGGTCTTTCTTACTTCTGTCAGCATTTCCAGATGCATGGGGTCGTTCTTGGTCGTGCTTTGCCAACGTGGCAATGTATGGTTCTCCAGGTATATATTGGTTCTGAGCAGGGAGTAGTACAATACCGGTACATGTATTACCTATATTGGTACGGTACTACTCCCTGGTTCTGAGCAGGGAGTCACACAACTCCCTCGCGCGTCGAAAAACAAGGCGAGTGACCTGCAGCTTGCGTCGAAATTTGGAGTTATCGCCAAATTTGACGTGAAATTGCGCGTCACGTCGGAAATAATGTGCATCTTATTATTTTTGGAAGGATTGGGAGAACGTCAAATTCAAAGTATCAGTCAGGGAATCTTATTATTATTATTAAATTTTGAATAAGGCATCTTAACCTCTCTAGTTACGAGGCATTGAGATTCGATCTGTTCTCACGCTCGATTTCCTTGCAGAATATAGAATGATTTGCAGAACTCGCGCAGAATTTACTGTTTTTAGCCGCAGAATTCTGCACGGAATTTCTGATACGGGGGGATAGGACAGCTGCAGTGTTATGTGGGCATGGGCCCTAGGGGGGGGGGGGGCACTGGGCAGTGGGCAGTAGGCCTTTCCGGATTATGTGTTTGCATATTTTTGCATTTTGGGGGTCAAAATGCATTTTGTCCATTTTGACCCACTTTGGGCCAGGGAGTCGTAAAATACCGGTATTTTACGACTCCCTGCAAGCGATAGGTACTTCACGATCACCATGAATGATCACCATGGTGCCAAATGTCACGCGAAGGACTAAAGGGACCCTCACTTAATTTTTTGCCGACTACCCGCCAAAAAACACATTTCGACACGCGTGTGTGCTGGACGTCTGTGCGTGCACGACAAGACGTGTGAGCTGGCTGACAAGTGAGAGCCAGGGAGTCGCCAAGTACCGGCGTTTGACGACTCCCGGCCTGGTGAGAGCATGCATGCATGCATGTCCAGCTGGCGGGAAAGGGAACCTATTTTGTAGATCGATGGGTTGAATGTGAAATTGTGGATCTACACGAGGTTTGTTTTGATGTTCTGATACTTGTTGTAATGGCTAGTGATCTTGCAAACTGTTTAAAACTGTTACTGTGACTTTTCCAAGTCCTACTGATATACCTTGTCAAATCAGATGCCCTGTAGTAGTCTTGGTGGAAGCAGACTGGAATGCGTTGAATTCGTAGCTTCTGAAATTGAAATTTATTTTTTCTTGAGTGACACTGACAAGCGATGGCATTGGCGACAGGAGAACTTTGCTTCCTTCCAGGAGAGCTGCATCGCAGTCGGATCCTGTCCATGCACATGCGATCATGCTGTGTTGTAGACAGTGGAGAGCTGATTTTCACCCGAGAAAATAGTTTTGAACATTCATGAAGAGGATATTGTTGCTGTAGCTAGCTGACAGACATAACCTGTGGCAGTGGTGTATGGAATCAGCGTGCAAGGTGTGTAGCAACTTGATCATGGCAGAGAACGAGCTGAAGCGAGATGTGAAGGGTGCCATGCAGCTTACACTTGTGCATGTTCTACGTTACTCTACGGCGAGGAACTACACACACACTCACTACTGCTCTCGCAAGGTGATTGGCTTCTCTCCAGTGATTCAGGCCGCCTCAAAGCATGGGTCCACTGCACTTTGTCGCGGAACACATCAACATGCCTGTTGACGTACACTGGAAAGATACGACTCCACGATGAGGACCTGTGTAGCAACTTGATCATGGCAGAGAAGGAGCTGAAGCAACTTCCATTGGCGCATGTTTTTTAGTTTTAACGGTACTCCACGATGAGGAACAGCACACGCACTCGCTACTGCTCTTGCCAGGTGATTGACTTCTCTCCCGTGATACAGGCTGCCTCAATGCATGACTTATCTGCACATCAATACGCCTGACGTAGATATAACTGGAAAAAAAGGTGTCACTCCACGATGAGGAGCACACAGCACTCGTGAAGGCTTGTACAGAGTGAGGGGCTTCTCCCCAGTGATGCAGGCTACCTTGAAGCATGATGAGCTACGTGAAAAATACCGCGCGGTGTGTTGAAGCGAGGCATGGAGCATGCCATTCAGCTTGCACTGGTGATTGTTTTACTCAACGATGATGAACTGCACGTGGCTTTTGATAGGGCTTGTGCTGGGTGAGTGTCTTCTCTCCAGTGATGCAGGCCACCTTGAAGCGTGAATCCACTGCATCTCTCTCTCTCTCTCTCCAAATTCTTTGGTAATGCAGCCTTTCACCAACATTGTCCTGTTGCACGCCTACTGTCACTCAAACAGGACCAATGGATGCA